GGCTTGGCTAGGCTACGGTTGCTAGGTAACAGCAGAGTGACCGTAGAATATGGCTTCACTTTCCGGAGGATTCTGAAACGGCTCATTTCCCGGACTCCAAATTTCGGTGGAACTGTTTTTTTTGTTTTGTTTTTTTTTAAGAACCTGAGTTGTTTTAAGAAGCAGTAGAAACCAAAATGGAAGAACAAAAACGTTCAAAATGAGACCTGTCCCTTTAAGAGCTTATTTTTTATTATTTTTATGTCTGCAGATCAAAGTCAAACAACGGGTGAAAGCTTAAAAATAAAATTATTATTATGATTAAAAATTTACCAGTAGAGCCAGGATACATTTTACTAAAATCTGAGTCTCGTGCCGGGCCGTTGCCATCGCTGGCCCAGTTTGGAGCAGCTGAATACTCACTGGCTAGCTGGAAGAGCGCAGCGATGGCCTCCTCCCACCACTGGGACTCCTGCGTGACGAAGGGCAGCTCCATCAGGCCCAGGAGGAAGATGAGCTGACCGGCCGTCAGCGCCACCGTCGCTATCAGGTTGCACGCTCGCATCATGTTGAACTGCACTGTGGGAGCAGAACAAACGGTGCGTCAAACCTCCACGTTCACAGAAAACAGCAGCACAACGTGAAGGGTTACAGTTGCCGTTGGTGACAAGGTGGCATTGTAAGGGCTCGTTTTTATGAATGGAGAAGCGCTGCCAGTAGTACCCAGCTGAGCGTTTCCCACAGTTGTTTTTGAATGGCAGTTTCTGAATGGAGCCTAACGTAGGAAAAGCTTTTAAATGTTCACGTTTCTGCTGAGCGGATTGGGCGAAGCCAACAAAAACACCAGAACCTGTAGAAACCGCAGCGCATTCAGAACATTCCTGACCAACTTTCACACGATGCAATCAGACCGACTTCATTAGACGGATAACTTTACTGGGATGAAACGGTCGGCTGAGTCTGACTGACTGGACAATGAAACTGAATAAAGTGAATCTCCTTTTAATCATAATTATTTGAGTTAATTATGATATTTCTGCCTGCAGTTAATAAAAATACATTTAAGAGTAGAATAATCTAAGATTGGAATACTAATATAAGGCTATAAAATATGAAGTTTTGTGTGTGTGTGTGTGTGTGTGTGTGTGTGTGTATATATATATATATATATATATATATATATATATATACACATGCATTTTATTATTTAAAAATTATATTACATATTCTAATTCATTTATTTTTGTCCCTTTTGGCCCTCCATACACCTTAAAAATCACGTCACTATGATTCTGAAAATCATTTTGTGGCCCCTCTGGGATCCCGACCCCTACTTTTGGCAGTAGATAAAACCCAAGTTAAACTGAAACCCCCGGGTACTGGGAGCAGATTTTAACTTTTCCCCCTTACATTCATAACTGCCCCCCTCCCTCCCAGTTAAACATAAACATATTTGGTAACCATGGAAACGTCAGACTCTTGGCTAGAAGCTGATAAAAAGTATTTGAGTTGAGCAGAAACATTTGGACTGCAGGCCAGATATCAGTGACCAAGAACCTTCATTAAAAAGACATTGTATGGAGCTCTGGTAGTGCCAAAAAACAAGTATATGCTCTGGTAGTTTAAATTTTGTTTTTTGTTGGGGGGTTGGGGGTTTCAGCAAAATATGCCCAAATTTCCCTAATTTTTCTTATTTACACTGGATTTCAGAAAACTTCTCTTCATTTGGAGTCAAATATAACAATTTCTTATAATTTCAAGTAATTTTGGACATCTGAATGTAAGTTTATTAAGTTTAGTAAGTATAAACAGGAAATCTCTAGTTTTGTAGATGGTGCCAAAGGCAAAATGATGAGTACGCTTTTAGTGAGTGTGAGTTCTTTCGCTGTTATGCCATTATGAACATTATATTAGTGGAAAAATGTCTCAAAACAACAATATTATAATTTATCACGATAACTTCTGGGAGAATTTATCGTCCAGAATAATTTGTTATTGTAACAAACTGACTCAGAGGTAGTAAAAAAAAAATCATTTTTAAAAACTAAAATTGCTAAAATGTTGCGATTTTTAAACTACTAAACAATACATAACGCATAAATTATATTAATTAAGCAGATAATCAGATCGTTGATCCAAAACTATAACTGGTTTTACTTTCATAGATGAAGATTTGTTCAATATTTGAAGAAAACAGAGAAAATATTTAATCTTTTCATCAATAAATCCAGGATTTGGTTCAGTCTTCATTTGAAAACACTTCAGTAATTCAGCCAAGTTTTAACCCATTAAAAGACTTTAGTGCAGCGATTCCCAAACATTTTAAACCAAAACAGTTTTAGCAGTTTTTCCTTCTGTCCAGGTCAGACAATGCTACATAACCATTGACTTTAAAATGTTGTTTTTCTCTCATTTATTCTCTATTGGATAATTATTGCATTTGTTTTGCACATGTCAGGCCTAATAGATGCTCAGTCAATGTGATTTGATGTAATTAAATCAGTAAAGTCAGTTTGTGTCTGTGCGCTGAGCGACCTGAACTCTTACGTTTGACGGTGCTGCGGGACTCCTGGTAGCCGGCGAACTCCGACCCCCAGCCGATGGCGGTGCAGTGCCTCTGCGTGCCGTGCCCCCGGCCCGCCGCCTGCAGGTCGTCGCGTCCGCGCTCGGCGCCTGCGGGACACATCCTCCACAGCCCCACGCTGCGCTTGCGGCCGTCCTCCAGCGCCTGCAGAACCCAGCTGGGCGTGAAGGCCGCCACGTTGTTGAGCACCAGGGACAGCAGCGCCACCGCCACCGCCGCCGCCACCAGCCTGCGCACGGCCATGCGACGCCCGACGCCCGCCACCGCTCCGCCGCCGTCCTCCACTTCCTCTGCTTCGTCCAGCTGTCACAGGAGTGTCGCTTTAGCTAAAGAACATCTCCATTCATCGTCATCCGGGAGCCGGTTGTCGTGGCGACGGATCCTCAGCCCTCCTCCTCGGACAGCAGCGCTGGTACCTGCGGGTTGGTCCAACCGGCACCGGGGTCCATTCCACCTCCTTCCACTGGCTGCAGCTTCACGATCACTTAAATCTGCCCGTTTGTTTTAACGCTCCTTTTTTGCACTTTTCCCACTTTGTGTTTTTTGTTTAGTTTCTGCAAAGCAGCAGCATGTTTTTAAAATAAATCTTTGGACAGTTTGAGTCGACTGGAACAAGAAGTCCTCTCCGTTTGTAGGTCAGAGTTGAAATGTGCTGCTCATCAGTTTGCACATGCCCTCCTCCAGGATCGATTTAAAAAAAACGGGTTTGTGTGTGTGAGCGTCTAAAAAAGAATCCCGTTGCAGACGTCACGGCCTGCTGGATTCTTTTGTCTGGAGAGCAGGGGGCGTTTGCGAAAGTCCTCCTTCTCCCATGTGCAACAAACACGCCAGAGCCAGCCAGCAACAGGATGCGTTTCCTGAGAGGAAAAGAGGCCAAAAGCAGACCTGTTCCTCCTCTTGTCTTTCCTTTTCTGGCTCTCTAGATCTCACCGCTCCACTTTTTAATCTGTGACCATAAACAGAAACTTTGGCCGTTTGCGCGCGCAGCTCACATTCTTATGTTTCTGTTGGCCTCCACTGGTGGGGCCCCCAAAGATTTGGGGTATTTCCTGTTGCTCAGCTTTCAATAAACAAGCCACATCTGTATCTGCTGAAGCGAAGAGGAGGGAGGCGATGCAAATGGAGAACAGATGGAGTAGGAATTTAAAAATCTGGAGACGAAGCCAAGGTTGAAAGAGACGGAGGATCCGTTTACGTCAGAGAGGCGAAAAAAGGGAAAACTGTTCAAAGTGCTCACTGAAAATTCCTGCAGTTTCACCTGGAAGTTTGTAACGAACCGCATGCAAAAAGTAGGGCAAAAGGTCGAACAAAAATGTAAAGATAGACAAACAAAATCTGAAAAGTGTGGCGTGCACAAATAATACCCAGTAAAATGCAAGAAACGCATAAGAAGTCCAATTTAAAGACATATATGAGTCAATAAACAAGGTGCAGAGGAAAATGTTGCACATGACCCTGAATAAACAGTGAAACATGGTGGTGGCAGCATCATAGCGGGAGGCTGCAGGAAACTGAAGAGCCACTGAAGGAAACAACATGAAAACCTCTGAAGACACTGAGAGCAACTTCCTTCCTCACAGAATGGAAACAATTTAGACTTTAGCGATTAGAGGATTTCTCTGTAGTCTTTGGCTAAAAACCACAAGTCATTTCTCCTGCTAGCGCTAAGCTAGCACCTTTATTTGGGCTGTATCTACCCAGAATGCCCTGCTCTAGTCCACTTCCTGCTTTTGGAGTGGTCTCCGCTCCGCTTGGCGTTCACATAGGCATCCAAACAGAACCAGAGTTCACTTCAGCCTAACCCAGACCGAGGTTTGTAGGCAAACAAGAGTTCGCTATTTTGGTCTATTACACATTCACAACTCTCCAACCAAACCAGACTTTCCAAGAAGCGGACTGGAGTTTGATTAAACCGGACTGGAGTTGGATTAAAGCGGACTGGAGTTGGATTAAAGCGGACTGGAGTTGGATTAAAGCGGATTGGAGTTGAATTAAAGCAGACTGGAGTTGGATTAAAGCGGATTGGAGTTGAATTAAAGCAGACTGGAGTTGGATTAAAGCGGACTGGAGTTGGATTAAAGCGGACTGGAGTTTGATTAAAGCGGATTTTTCCGTAGAGAAATTCCAGTAAAATAAAGTGAATTCTTGTTGATGTAGCGTGACTAAATCTAAACTATGAAAAAAAGAAAATCTGTTTCTAAAGCTGAATTAAGCGTAGATTTCACTCTGTTGGTAGGAAGAACCAGCCATGTTTGAGTCAGGCCTCAGTACCAGTGAGCTGAAACAAACAGCAGGATAACTCTAACATGCTCCATCATTGTATGTGAACAAACAGGAAGTCATCGGATGTACGCACAGCAGCAGTTTTCACTGCTGAATAATAAATAGCATTAGAATGAGCCACAGTTTCTCATCCCTCTGTGTTTTCTTCCTGTAGTAAAGCGGTGTGGGAAAACATGGCACGGATGTGTGTGAAAACCCGCCGGCTGGACGTGGCCCGAATGTGCCTGGGGAACATGGGGAACGCCAGGGCAGCGAAAGCCGTGAAGGAGGCGGAGGCTGAGCCCGAACCCGAAGCCCAGGTGGCCATGTTGGCCATTCAGCTCGGCATGCTGGTGAGACGAGGAAATTATCTGATTAACAAGCCGCATAGAAACAGATCCTGCTTCATCCTTTCATTACGTTGTTTAATTTAGAATAAAGTTGTCCCCCCATTCCAGCCTCTGAACTCACCAGCTGCGTTTCCATTTATCTTAAAATTGCGCAAATTGGAATTTTGAAAATAAATTTGGTTAGTGCAAACTCAGCAATTTCTAAAAAATAACTTGCTCTAGGATGAAACGTATCGAAATAATAATTTTGCAAAACTGTTATAGTTTAGCAAAATACAAAACTATGCAATAGTTTTGCAAAATACAATACAATAGACAATGTTGCTACTGGAGGAAACAACAAAGAAGAAACAGGAAGTGATAAGAGGATGGTGTTATTGCATGAACAAACTTATTTTAATTGTGTTTTTTATCTAATGGAAACACTGGAATTATGAAATTAGTTTTTTCTTTTTTTTTCGATCTTAGAAAATAAAGTTTTGTGCACATTTGTAATGAAAAGGCAGCTACTGTGAGTTTCAGTTGTTTTCTGTTAAAGGTGACCGGTTATGCCTCCTTGAACAGACTAGGAAAGGCCTGTGGCCTATGCAAAACATTTTTAGCACAAATTTATTCTTAGATAATTTTAGTCTGCTCAGTTCTGCCTATTGTGAGCTCCTTTCATAATGAGCTACATTCTCTACTCCTAAAGCGCTTCACCAACTCTGAGTTTGGCATGAGATACAGTAACAATACAGGCTGCTTTAGGGTGTCTTGTCATTGTAAATCCAGATAAGCTGCTGCTGGCCACGCCTCCCAAATCAACATTTACACAAACAGATGGGCAATTATACAAAACATCCATCTTTGAAAAGCAGAAATGGAGCCTCCTGCACAACCAGCAAGAACACAGCAAGTGGTTTCTGGATGGTATGTCAACAACAAAACGCTTGTCTTTTCCAGCAGCCATTATGCAGCGCATACAGGTGACCAAACATGCTGGAGCTCCGTTTTGGTTGCTAGGTAACGACACAGTGTGACTCAACAATCGGGAGGATTTTGAAAGGGCTTGTTTTCCAAACACCAAAAAACATTAACTTATTGCCAAAAAATGGCCAGATGTTTTTAGAATCAGTTGAGACCCAAATGGAAGTACAGAAATGCGTAAAAAGTGAATTTTTCATCATAGGTCCCCTTTAATGAACCGTCTGTCCGGCTTTCGGTGAGGCTACATCCCTTCAGGCCCGAGCGGGACTTTCCTGACTGAAGGCATTTATCTCCTTCCTGTCCTGCAACAGGAAGATGCAGAAAAGCTGTACAAGAGCTGTCATCGCTATGACCTGCTGAACGCCTTCTACCAGGCCTCCAGCGAATGGCAGCGAGCTCTGGAGACGGCCGAGGCTCACGACCGCATCCACCTGCGCACCACCTACTACAACTACGCCAAGTACCTGGAGTCCATGGGCCACAAGAACCTGGCGCTTGCTTAGTAAGATGCTGCGTTTAGCTGGAGGCTTCAGGCGGATTTACTCTGGAAATGAGGGGCGATAATCAGCGTTTCTGTTCCAGTTATGAGAAATCAGACACTCACCGAGTCGAGGTTCCCAGAATGCTGCAGGATGACACGGCGTCGCTGGAGTTATACGTCACCAAAGCCAAAGATAAGTAGGTTTTTCTGACGTCGGCAGTGTTTGAGCTGTCTGCATGACATGGATGAAGTTTAAACATCCATCCTCTTGTGAATCCAGGAACATCTACAAGTGGTGGGCCCAATACCTGGAGAGCCAGTCCAACATGGAGACAGCGCTGCTGTTCTACGAGCGCGCTCAGGATTACCTCTCCCTGGTCCGAGTCCACTGCTACCTGGGCAACATCCCGGAGGTACTTCTCTAAACACGTTTAGCTCACCAGCTAATATTTGCTGCAGACACTGAACAAAGTCTAATTAGGGAGAAAAACTTTCCTACTTACCAGTTTTAGGAGAAACTCTCTGCAGTTCTTTGAAAATCACATGCAGGATTTCAAAGACCTTCAACATTTTTCACATCTGAAAAATCTGGCGTGTTTGCAGCGCTGCTAAAAAGCTTTGGCTGCGCTAATCCTGGAACACTAATCATAATCATTTGTTCTGCAAAAACACTAAGCCAACACAATGTTTAGCAGAAGCTAATGCTAACGCTCTAAATTCAGCCGTGAGGTAATGACAGACGTTACAACATATTATTAGAGTATTTTATAATCGAATGGATTCGCCTCAGTATGGTTTGTGCATGGGTAAAGCATCCAGAACTTTGAGAGATTTTCAAGTCAAAGTAAAAAGTACAACGTAGCACAAATACTCCTAAAAGTGATTTTTTTTTCCCCAAAAAACGTACTAAAGTAAATGTAACTGAGGAAATGTCACTAGTTTCTACCAGCTCTGCATATGAATCTGTTCATTTGGCCGCAGGCGTCTCAGATAGCCAACAACACAGGTGACAGAGCAGCATCGTACCACCTGGCCAGACATTACGAGGGTCACGACGACATCAAGCAGGCGGTCCACTTCTACACCCGGGCCCAGGCCTACAACAACGCCATACGGCTCTGCAAGGTACCGTGCTCCTCTCCGGACTTCAGGGTTTTTCTGTGCGGTTTGCTCAGCTTTGTGTCTGAACAGGAGAACGGTCTGGATGACCAGCTGATGAACCTGGCGCTGCTCAGCAACCCGGAGGACATGATGGAGGCGGCCTGCCACTACGAGGAGAAGGGCAAACACCTGGACCGGGCCGTGGCGCTCTACCACAAGGTCTGTGCAGCCGGGCCTCCACAAGGTGGCAGTGTTGTGTCATATGCAGGGGGTACAATGTCTTAAAGGGGCAGTATTCTGTAAAATGAACTTTTTTTATCTTTCCATCGTGTTATAATGTTTTTCCCTCATCAAAAACAAACCTGGAGTGTTGCTGCGATTCTTTCACGTATGTCTGAGAAATCCTTTAGTCTCCATGGCAACCATTCAGCTGTGCATAACACTGAATATCTGTTTATTTTCTCTCTCTGGACATTTCTGTCAGTCAAACGTTTGAGTCATGCACATTACTCTTCATTGCATTTTGTGACTCAGATCGGTCGAGGCTGCTGCTAATTAGCTGCTAATATGTCTTTGACAGCTAGATGCCAAGTCAAGTTTATTTATATTTCAGCAACAACAACAGTTTTCTGGACAATGTTTGTTTTCGCCACTGGCTGTAAGCAGATGTGAGCTTTGTGTTTTTTCCAGGCCGGTTACGTCTCCAAAGCGTTGGAGTTGGCGTTCGCCACCGAGCAGTTTGCTGCGCTGCAGCTCATCGCGGAGGAGCTGAATGAAAACTCCGACCCTGCGCTCCTCGCTCGCTGCTCCGACTTCTTCGTCCAACATTCCCAGTATGAAAAGGCGGTGGAGTTGCTGGCAGCGGCCAAGAAGGTAGCCGCGTCACACAGTCCTTACCTTCCCAGCTGTTGGCCGGTGCGTGCCCTGAAGCGTTTTTCTGTAAATGTTCAGTATCCTCAGGCGGTGGAGCTGTGCCTGACCCATAACCTAACGATCACCGAGGGCCTGGCTGAGAGGATGACGGTGACGGACGCCAAGGACCTGACGGAGGAGGCCGGCAAGGCTCTGCTGGAGAAGATCGCCGACTGCTGCATGAGTCAGGGCAGCTACCACCTGGCCACCAAGGTGTACACACAGGCCGGCAACAAGCACAGGGTAGGACGACATCGGCTTTATGTACTTGGTTTGTTCCAGTTCACTACAATTCACCTGGAATATAGATAATATCACAATAATCTGATCTGATCTGATGGTCGGACGGATGGATGATTGGTTGTTGGTTGGTTGGTTGGATCCAGTTCTGGTGGTTTTCTATTGGCTCGTTGTTTCTGCCTGTTGCCGGGCAGAAATGTTTTCCTGCTGTTCTTTAGAATCTTGTGACGATTTGTTTTAGTTTCCTTTTTTCCTCCAGTCAGACATGAATCCTCGTCTGCATGACGACTGTTTTTATTTCATCTCAGGCCATGAAGGCGCTGCTGAAGTCGGGCGACACGGATAAAATCGCTTTCTTTGCCAACGTTTCTCGTCAGAAGGAGCTTTTCATCATGGCCGCCAACTACTTCCAGTCCCTGGACTGGCGCAAAAACCCAAAGAACCTGAAGCGAATCATTGAGTTTTACACTAAAGGCAAGGCGCCGGACCTGCTGGGCGGCTTCTACGAGGCTTGTGCTCAGGTAGAGAAACTCCAGTTATTATTATTATTGTTAATAGTTTGTCTGTTGCTATGCTAATAATATGTCTGATTCTTTATTTCAGTGACTCTGTTCACAGATATTAGATGAAAACGTTTTTTTATCTTCTGTTCTTATTAAATTAGGTGGAGATAGATGATTACCAGAACTATGAAAAGGCGCTGGATGCTTTGATGGAGGCGTTTAAGTGTCTGTCCAAAGCAAAGGACGGTTCCTCTGGACAGCAGGAAGTGAGGTTAGCCGACCTGCAGCACAAGATCGTCCTCATCAAGAAGTTCGTCCACATACGCAGGTAAAACCATGAGAAAGTGGAAAGGCATGATAAAAATATGTCTTATTTAGCAAATATCAACTAAAGATGTTTGAGTAGTAAATGAAAAGTATAATTATTAAAGCTGCACGCTGTCTGTCCAGCTCATCGGTTGGACCATATGAACATCTGACTGTAATCTGGATTTCCTGTAATGATGTATTTAGTTCTAAATCTTTTCATTTTTGTTCTTACAGTTTCTGGTTGAAGTATTTAAGAGTAAATAAAGCCAACGTTTTTGTGCATATTTAAGGATATTTTGGTGTTTTGTGCAAGTTTTTCGTTTGTCTGTGAATTAATTTAATTCTGCTCTCGCTGCTCGCTAAGAGTTTTTACATGTTGCCATAGAAACATCCAGTAACAGATAAAAGTCGCTAAATCTGATGCTAGCCAATTTTTTTTGAACAAGTCGTTATCGGGTCTATAAGGTGGTGAAACGCAGCGATAAGTGAATTAATTTGGCAGCGGTTGTTGATGCGTCGTCCTGACGGCGGCGGCGCTCAGCGCCAGGTTTGGCCACGCCCCTCTGTGTCTAATGGCTCCGCCCACTTTGGTGGGATTCTTCAGAAATGCCTGGGGGCGGGGCTAAACCTTCCCAGGTTGGTTGGCCACAACATTAAATGTATTTTATTTCATGTGTCGCGTTACAGTCCTGCGTGGTTTAGCTCGTCTTCCTCGTGGTGACAGGATGCCGGCGTTTCTCTGCAGGCTGCACCCAGAGGACCCGGACGAGGCAGTCAGGTTGTGTGAAGCCCTGCTGGAGGAACCAGAGTTGGACCCCGCCGTCCGGATCGGAGACGCGTACGGCTTCCTGATCGATCATCACTGTCAGCAGGGACGCCTGCAAACGGTGACGCTCTGCAGCCACTAACAGATTATTAAGGACGAGCGTTTCCACAGAGACCAGATCTGAGCTGTTTCGGCCCGAGCTCAGAGATAAATCCAGGAGCTGAGTCTCATCAGAGCGAAAATGTTTCTGGTTTTACGAGAAGCAAAACCAGAAAATGTCTCGTTCAAGCAAGACAAGTTTTACGTGTCATTTTAGCGGCAAGTTTGTTGTTAAAACCAGAAAACCTTCCGATTTTATCGAGATAAAAAGCTCGCTGAAACGAGTTTTATGTCTTATTTTCTATCTTGTTTTAACAATAGTTTCATGTTAAAGCCAGAAAACTTTCCCATTTATCGAGAAGCAAAACACGTTAAATCAAGAAAGTTTTGACTCTCGCTTCAGAAAACCTTCTCGTTATTACAAGATACAAAACTCGTTAAAAGGAGAAATAAAATTTTTTTTTCTGCTATGCTGTGATTTCTTAAAGTGTAAAGAAACTATTTCTCACCCAGTTTCCTCTAGACAACATTTCTTATTTAAAAGAGAATATATTTTACTTTTAATTAAATATAAATGTCGTTATAGCGAGCTTTTAAAATCTCGTTAAACCAGAACATTTTATGATGAGAAAGTTTCTCGCTTTAAAGAGATTCTTCCCCTGAATCCCTCTGGCAGTGACTGCCTTCCGTAAAGCCGATGTAGAAACATTTAATCTTCCTCCTCAGGCGTACCAGAAGCTGGAGGAGCTGCAGAAGCTGCTGCCGTCTCAGAGCATCAGGTTCTACATCAGCCAGGCCAGCCTGGACGCGCTGCAGAAGGAGATGGGCTTCCCTCTGGAGAGCGGAGACCACAAACACGTCCTGCGGGAGGACGACGAGGTGGAGGAGGACCTGACGGTGTGAGCAGGAGGAGGAGGA